TCAGAGGAGCAGGAAAGCTGATGTTTTTCTGAAGAAGGGTCTAGGCCTGAAATGTCAGCTTTCCTGCTCCTCTGATGCTGCTTGGCCTGCTGTGTTCATCCAGCTCTACACCTTGTTATCTCAGATTCTCCAGCATTTGCAGTTTCTACTATATCCAACCTACCTGTTGCCTGCCACTTTAACACACCATACTGTTCCCTAACCAACATCTCTGCCTCTGGCTTGCTGCAGTGTTCCAGCAAAGCCCAACACAAGCTGGAAGAACAACACTTCATTTTCTGCTTGGGGACTCTGCACCCTCTGGACTCAATATTGAGTTCAATAATTTTAAGGCCTAAACTCTCCATTGTCTTAGGCCCCTACCCCACACACCAGGCCTTGTTACCACATAACCCGTCACTACACTTGACCTATGAAGTAAAAACTGAAAGAACTGCGGATGCTGTAAATCAGGAACAGAAACAAAGTTGCTGGAAAAGCTCAGCAGGTCTGGCAGCATCTGGGAAGGAAAAAACAGGGTTAACGTTTCGGGTCCGGTGACCCTTCCTCCGAATTACACTTTACCTATTGTTAGCCACTAACAATCCCCATTAACGACTATTCACCCTCCTAGCCAGGTCGTTATCGCCTCCTTTGTCTATCCAACTGTTGTTCTCTCTCTATGGGCTCTATCCTATCATTTACTCCCTACCCCACCCCCCTCCCTATTTTCTGCATATAAACCAACATTTTCCCAGCTACCAAAAAAAAGGGGTTCTAAGGAAGGGTCACCGGACCTGAAATGTTAACTCTGATTTTTTTTCTCCACAGATGCTGCCAGACCTGCTGAGCTTTTCCAGCAACTTCTGTTTTTGTTCAACAACTTTACAGCTTAATTCCATCCTTTCATATTTTTTACCCCTTCCCACACCCTGGTCCTGCATGACATGGGTTACTTTCAGCACAGTGAACCCATTCTCACCACACTTTGTCCTCTTATCACATGACATTGGTTGCTTTCAGCAAAGCCTATCCATTCCCTCCTATTCCTAGCTTTCACTATCACTTATTTAGGTTACTAACAACATTTCCTTTGTCTGCATAACCCTTTCATATCTCTCTCTCAGGGTCCATCCTCACCTATCCTCTCACTTCCCCCACCACCCCCGTTGTCTTTAGCATATCACTTTTCTCTAGCTACTATTCAGTTCTGCTGAAGTGTCACCAGACTCATTTTGTTAATTCAGTGTTCTCCCCACAGATTCTGCCAGACCCGTTGAGTTTCTCTCACAATTGTTTCAAATAGTTTTGTATGGGAAGCAAAGATAAATCAGAATACTCTGCATAAAGTAATACATGGAAACAGATATTTTGGCCCATCTAGCCAAAACCTAGACAGGGTTTACTCTCTATTACAGCAATAGTTCCGACAACATTTAAAATCCATTCTTTTCTCAGATATCTATTCAAACTAATCTGGAATATCCTAACTAAAATTAAACCCACAGTCGCACAGCTCTCTGTGTCAATTGTTCTTCCATGATTAAAGTCATATCTTTCTTTGTCCTTATACTTCTTCATGCTAGGCAGCATCTTAATGACGGTGTATTGTACTCTGCCTAAAACTTTAATTTCCTTCCTATGGTACAAAACTGAACAACACATATAGTATTCTAACTGAAATTCTGCGCCAAGTCAAGCAATACCATCCCAGGCAAAATTCCAAGATGAGATCTAAACAAGCTAAAGTTGTGTTGCAAGTCATCCTTGGAAAGGATGTTTATTTTGTACAGATAGTACTCAAGATGGAAAATTGGGAATTATCCTGTATCAAAATGGCAAGTTCTTTCAGTCCAAGCTCTATCAGAGTACTAGCAACCAGAGTCGACAAGTTATTTCTGGAAATATTGCAGAAGGAGTTCTGAATGGTGTTGAACTACTTTTTAACCCAAAGGTAAGAATACTAGTTTATCTTACATATGCCAACATTCCAACGGGACTTGCTGCAAAACAGAAAGACAGAACTGTCATGGAATTAATTTTAGGATGGGTGGCCATCAGAAGTTTCAGTAAACTAAGGTCTATTTATCATTTGAAGTACAACTGGTTGCATTAATAATTTCTAATACCTAGTCTAAGAGTTGCTTCAAATCAAGGTCAGACACGTTGACATCAACATTTAAAATACAGAGTGCTCCCATAATTCTTAATGAGAGGAGATAACTTATAATACAAAGTGGAAAAGAGCAAAGTTCATTGGCCCATCTACTGATTAATCACCAAGATTGTTTAAAGTTCATAAATTACTGCTATTTTAAACACATGTATTGGAGAAACAAGCAATTACAAAGGAACATGATTAAGGATGTCAGTGAGACCAAACGTAGACTACGTGACTGTTTCGTTGAGCATCTCCGCCTGGCCCAAAATGGCCAGCCTAACCTTCCAGTCACCATCCATTTCAACTCCCTGTCCCACTCCCCCCCTGACATGTCCGTCCTCGGCCTCCTCCAGTGTTACAGTGAATCAGATTGCAAATTTGAGAAACAACACCTTATCTTCCGCCCTACAGCCCAGAGGATATAACATTAAGTTCTTTAATTTCTAATATCCTTCCCACCCTTCTCCTGGCTCCATTTCCAGCCCTGTCTTCTCCCTTTCATTCCACCTACCACGTCCTCCTTTCCCTTCCAGCTACCAATCGGATTCATCCCTCCCATCAACAAACCAGGTTGTACCTGCAACCACTGATCACCTATCACCACCAGTCCGCTACCATCACCCCACTTAATCTGCAGCTCCCCCTATCCCCACATCCAGTCCTGAAGAAGGGTAATATCTGAAGTGTTGACTTCTCTTCCTCCAGATGCTGCCTGGCTTGCTGTGTTTTTCCAGGTTCTTGTTTGTCTACCTTAGAACAGAAGTTTGTTTTTTTTTGAGGCAAAATGTAACATCAGGCTAAATACAGCAGGCATTTCTGCTCAGGAGTAGATCAGGTTTTCTTACACGATTGCATTCTTCTCAACTAATTACATATGCAAATGTGAGTAAAGCTTAAAATGTTATGGGCAGGAAGTATTGAATCCCAATGGGCTGTTCTGGACTCCAATTTCCAGACACTCAACTGTATTTAAAAGGTACTGTTCTGCACTTCACTGTATGCAATCCAGGACTGTTTGTGTTTTGAATTCCATATTCCTATCAACCTCTGATAATTCAATGCCTAACAAGAATCTATCTCCCTCTATCTTAAAAGTATTCAATGACCCTACCTTCACCACTTTCTGAGGCAGAGAATTTCAACGTCACACAGACCTTCTCATTGACTGTTAATTTCCCATTGTCACTCTCTAAAGGACCAACATATAATTTTTATTAATCTTTTCGTTTTTAATTACTTGTAGAAGCTCTTGTTATCCATGTTTACATTTCTAACGAGCTTCCTATCATGCTTTAATTTCTTTCTCCTGTTCAATTTTGTAGTTGGTCTCTGTCATTCTTTATTTTCTTAAATACAATACACTAACATATGATCATATAAATATGTCGTTCCAAATACTTATCTTAGACCACTCTTCTTCCTTATAAATTAAATATAAAATTCATTCTTATTGTGACCATGACTACCAATGATCTGAGATTATTACATAATACAAGATATCTAGTATAACCTGCTCTCTGGTTGGTCCTCTAATTTCTATCTCAAAAGCATTCTATGACACTTCATTCAGGCTACCATTACCAATCTGACTTTTCTAGTTTATATGCAAAGTAAAATCACCATAATTAATGATGTGCCTTTATCATGTGCTCCCAATATTTATTTTTATATATTTCATCCTACATTGTGGTTATCATTAGACAGCCTTTATACCATCCCTACTAATGACCTTTTTTTTCCCCTACTGCCCGTTGGCTCCACCCATCCAATTCTATTTCCCAGTTTCCTGAAACAAGATCATTTCTAAAATTTCTACCGATTGCACCCTTGATTAACAGAGCTAACCTACCACCAATTTCTAGCTTCTTATTCTTCCTAAATTTCATTTATACCTCAATATTCAGGACCAAATCCATGTCTTCGTGTAACCCATACCTCGATAGGGTTCAGCTCTTTTCATTATTCCTCAGATGATGAAGCAATTCATGTTTGCATGCATAATGACCTGGATAACAATATATGGGTTGATGAATGGACAGTAAACATTTTGTTGTGCACAAAAGTTCCTTTACAAAGGGTATCTTAAATGCACATTTGTTAAATAAAAACAGTCCATCTAAAGATGGTGCAGACTGGACTCCCATTTAACCGTCACTTAGTCAGCTAGTTTACTTCATTATGCATTCCTCCAACAAACTTACATCAGACCAGGCCAGAGGTTCATCTCAGCAAATATGATTGTGCACTTTTTCCACTATGACAGAAGGTCAGGTAGGGGTCAAGAAAAGATCTTGCCTTCTCCTCTCTGCTTCCCTGCGCTCCCCCATTCTCATAAGGCTTAGATTTTCAGTTCTGTCAGGTCTTGGCCAAGGGTGCAGCTGTTGTGGTGTATTTTCGTTGAAGTTTCAATGGGAATATTTTTGAATGACTACAGATATCTCCTCTTTTATCATTCTTGCATTCTTGTTCTTTTAATATCCCTTCACTGCCTAATTGCAATAATTAACATGTACCCTCCACCAGTTTTTATCTAATTCCAGCTTTTTAATCAAATCTGTTCAGACATTTCAGCTGTTAAGTCTATTTTTGTCACATAATTTTGTTTCTTTCCAGTTCTATTAAATTATTCAATTATTTTCAACATTCAGTTTTAAAGAATGGTCTACGCCAAAATATTAACCTGTCTTTTACAAATGTTGATGGACTGGCTATGCAAGCCCAGCATTTTCTGTTTTTCTTAAAATTTTTTGGGAAACAATACTGTCCTCTATTAATATTTTTGTGGCTTTAGTTTTCTGCTTAAATATAGTAATGTACCGAGAATAATCCTGGTAGTAATGCAAATATCAGTATTACCCATTGAATAAAACACATGAGTTTTATTATGAGTGTAATATATTGGAAGTGCCAAGATTTGCAGCAGCTCGCGAAGAAGGCCATCACAACATTCTCAGAACAACTAGAGGTTGTAATAAGTATGACTTTCGAATGTCATCTGAACAAACAGAAATTAAAGCTCAGATGTAATAAGGTCAAACTGATATTTTCATATATTTGGATTATCATATACAGAAATAACAAAAGCCTGATGCTTAATTTCACACAATTTTTCTTAATAAATCAATTCATTTATGTTTTTATCCAGTACAATTCTGCAGAGTATTTCATTCATGATCATGCCTGTGTGTTTTGGGACTATGATATGGATGATTGGAATACAGCAGGCTGTTCAAAGAGCACAGATGAGTTTGGTTACTTGAGATGTCAGTGCAATCATGCCACTAATTTTGCTGTGTTGATGGTAAGTCATGAATTATATCTTAATTAGGTATTATATCTTGCAGCTGCACCCAGTCTTCTGTCTTTGGAGACACTCGTTACAAGCTTGTCTGAAAGGCATCACTGACACTCATCCATCATACTCCCCTCTTGTACTCATGCCTTAATCACCTTAAACAGATGTTGTCCTCCTGTTACCAAGCTGATACAATACTCATAACACTCAATATTATTTCTTTGCAGTAGAGAAAACACAACTGCAAAGAAAAACAGAGCAGAAATGCAGCAGAAAACACGCAAGGGTGAAGAGAAGCAGGAGCCTGGAGATGGAGGGTTAGTGTGCTCTGCACTGGTACCTTGATAATCAAAAGCAATATGTGCCCCCTTCCCCATTAGGCGGGAAAATCACAGGAGGTTGCAGACGTGAGAAATGATGTGCCATGCGATCTTGAGCTCCATAAGACAGTAGTACTTGGTTGTGGGAGCTCATTCTCTGCTTGTAGATGCTGGATTGCAGTTCTCCATTCCTTGCAGCTCATTGTCTGTGTCTAACCCTTCTTCCCCGTGGAACAGTATGTTGCTGAGGAGAAGGTAGATGGTGTTGGTTTGTGGGTTGTTTTTCCATTTGCTTTATGTCAGAAATGCAAAGTAGGTCTTCAAAAGTTGCTCCAGCAGCACAGTGAAGAATGGAGAGTGCAACTGGAAGTAAGTCAAATGCAGCACAGATGAAACGACATACAAATTGGCATCGAACTGTTGAAAATACACTCTCAGAAGAAGTGTTTAAGCAGCAATGTTATATGTCTTCTATTCCGATAAGTTATAAATATTTGTGTGTATGTCTTCATGTGGTAGGTGGACTGTTACACTGATACGTTGTTTGTTGGCATATTTCTGTAGTTCGTCAGTAAAATATGGCATCTTGGAAGCTATATGCTGTTGTTCAGGTTTCCTAACCTGTCAGTATCACTGAAGAAGCACTTTCCACTATGTATTCACCTGGTCGGCCCTGTTGCTGGCTGCTGAGAAAATATATCATTTGTTTTTGCAGACAAAATCTCTGGTTAAAACACAGCTAAATGACCTTTAATATTTGAACATTTAAATTACTTACCAATAGCTCCAGTTGGCCTACAAACCTGCCTGATTAAAACCTGGAAGAAGACAGACTGATGTCAGGATCTAGAACAAAGCTTACATCGAGGGGATTCAACTTCCCACATGTTCTCCTCCAGCCACCCCTACCCTCTCTCTGTAAATATTCTGCTCATTGTCTTAAAAGCAAGTGTTACACTAAAATCTTCTCCACTAGTGAACTGCTGTACCCTAGTGCTGCAAATTATCACCAGTTACAGAAATTCTTGGTCTTAGGCTCATTTGTTGCTCTGGATTGATATTGAAAGTTTGTTCAGATGGGGCAATTCATTGATTGTGATTGAAATTATTAAGAATTTGGAAATTCTCAAGAAAGAGTCACCCTTTTTCTCTCCTTGCACATCTCTTACAAATTTCTTTCCTAATTCTTTCAGTTGCAAAGCGCACCCTCCACCACTCCCAAATACCAGCAAGACTTTGCTGAAACTGACTGCGAGCAATATCATGGATTAGCTAGTCTTTTACTAAAGTGATATAAAACATACCTTTTAAAGTTTCAGATGAACAACCACTTGTTTGAAAATAATATAATTTGCAAAACCCAACTATTATCAATCCTTTGTTTTTATTATGGTAGAGCTTCAGACGGAATTACACCTACGCTGATCCATTAAATGTTGTGTCATATGTTGGATGTGGGTTTTCAATTCTTGGGTTAACCATCACTATTACATTTCAAATTGTCACCAGGTAAGAACTTGAAATAATGCTGAAATATCAAATTATTAGTATAGTAATTATTTCAGCTGCTTTGTTACACATTGGGTGCAGATTAAACAATGTGTTATTTTCTGTCTGCTGGTTAAAAACAGATTCACATCATAGTTGTGATCTCTGGGATTGTCTGGGTGGATCTAAGTAGTTTTTGTCAGTTCTGGATAGGGGAGCATTGCAGTGGCTCAGATGACATGCATTTCCAGCCATGTACCTGGATTCTACTTCAATTCAGATAAGCACATTTCACACACTGACCTAACTATGGGATTTAGATGAGTGGCTGAGCAAGCCTCAGTGAATATTGTAGAATCTAACTTCCCTATAGGCAATGGACCCAGAGCATTGGAACCACTGGAAAGGGCTGCTTGTTGCCAGGGTTAGGATTATCCTCTTTTAACAGGTTTCTTGGATTAGTGCTCAAATATAAGATCTTCTAAGCAGTTTCTATAATGTGGACTACAAGCTGTAGCTTTTGTGGACTCATTTCACTTGAGACTTGAAACTGTCAGAAAGGAGAGGTAGACATTCTCTGTATCCCTGCTGAGACAGATACTAAGTCATGTGGTGGAAGTATAGTTTTTTTTAATACACTATTCAGCTCTTACACAAGTAAACCATGGCCACATTTTATTTAGCTTTATGAGATCTTTTTTGCATAATAATTTTACAATTATGGGATTGTGTTCAATAGCGACCAAGATCAGTGAGTGGTGAAAATAGCCTTGTTGTTGAGCATCTCTAGTGGCACAGTTCAAGGCAGCAATGGAATCCAAAGTATAGTTTTACAGGAGCCTCTTTACACACAGTTTTTACATACATTAAAATCTTAGCGTCATATAGTTGTATCGATTGTACACAACTTTGCATAATATCTGTCCTGTGGAAGCAGGAGATGGTTTAGGCACTTCCTAAATGTCTGTCTGGTCTGAGCTTGCATAATTAAGAGGTTTTAGTCCTTTTGTCCTTAAAGTTAGTAATGTTAGTAGAAATACTAGACCTGTATGATCTAAATAAGTGAGAAATTATACGTGTACTAAATAAAAGTATAGAGTATATTAAACTGTACATTCCGCAGCAGGGTTGTGAAATTTCATCTACTATTGCCAGTTTTTGACAGTTCCTACACATTCATTCATGCGGTTTCACAGATGCGCTGTTTTGAAAGTAAGTTTCTTAAAGGGAGTAGCAGCCCTATTTAATATTTATTTAAAAAGTATAAATCTATACGTTAGTACAAGATAATAGTCCTAAATAAAAGTTAGAAATAAGTAGTACAGTGTTATAGAAATAGGTAGTGTATAAGGAAATTTCAAAGAGATAAAAAAACAGCAGACTGTAGGGACGTACTGGAGAAGGAAACTGTTTGACGTCCTTTAACCTATTCAGGTCCCGAGAGACAGTTACTAAGGGCTAATTGATATTATAATTATTCCATAGTTATGAGTCAGTTATGGAGACACAATGGCGGGCATGGTCTTGCTCTGAGTTGGTTACAGTATTAACATTATTCAGGGGTAGACTTTGATACAGAAGCAAGTCTAAACATTGCTTGCAGCATAGAGCCAAAAAGAATTGAAAGCTGTAAAGAAACAGTAATAGGTTGGCAGCCTAGAAAGGGATGTTTAATTTAGTTTATCTTTAGGAGTAAAATGTACTACAAAAACACAGTTTTATGAATGAATGAATGGAAACGCAGTATAATAAACATAGAGCGTTTGTTGTGGTTCCATATATGAGTGAATGAAAACATGATAAATTAAACACAAAGGGCTTGTGAGTGAGTTAGTAAAGAGAGTAAAATGTACTTGAAAAGCACAGTTTTATGAATGAATAAATGGAAACGTGGTATAGTAAACATAGAGCACTTGTGAGTGAGTTTGTAAAGAGAATCATAATACAATATCTCACAGTTCCCCCTTTTAATCCTACTGAGACCCTCCAAAGAGAGTCACGCAATTCTTATCATAATTCAAATGTGCCACTTGGGTCTTTTAGATGTTGGAGAAGCTTGCAGAGACATGGCTTGTAATTGGGGATGGTTCATACTTTTAAAAGCTTGTTGGCAACTGCACTTTCTAAAGGAGAAAACAATGTACACAGCTAGAATAACAATAATAAACATCATGAGTACCTGTACACTAGAGGTCCCTAAGGATCCCAGCCATCCTGTAGCCCAACTCCACAGGGCAGAGAGCCATAACAGGAGGTGAAACAGGTGATAACATCAGGATACAATTGTGTGGGGAAGGCATCTCCAGTTGTACCCTTAAGAAAGTCGGTCAATAGGATCAGTCAATCAGTCAATCAGACGCTGTAACATTGAAATACCAAGAGCAATTGCTCTGTCCCATCTCTTGCCCCGCTTTGGAGGTGTTGAAAAAATACATGGACCCTTGTGTTCTTCCCTGATTTGAGGTATTAGTGATGGACAAGAATGGAGGATTATGGGTACGATCATAGCTGGACTGGTACCACCCAGCGAAGAGGGTCAGGGGATGGCTCGCAGACCTCCAGGCTTCAATACTCCCTGTCATGTTTATGAGAGAACTGAGTTTCCCTCCCTTTGGGTGCTGTACATTGGTGAACCTCCCAAGGCCCAATGAAGGGTGGGATGTGAAATTTTGATAAACATACCACTCTGCCATTTCAGATTCAGTAAAGGGAATAGGGTAGAGGAGTGGGATTCCCCCTTTTGAGGGAGTGGGAAAGTGGGAACATATCCAATACTTCAACAGATTAAAGGTTTTGGCATAAGTATAAGCCATATAGAGATAAGTATTTACATGTAACTCTGAATATCCCAATAGTACAAAAACTGCATAGCCATAATTGAGAAAATGACCATAGACACCATGGTGTCAGTCAGTCTCTGGTTCCGCTGTACTGTAGGATGTCCGTTTGATGTGGAAGGCATGAATCCAGGCCTTGTTTCCTCAGACCTTGATAGCCGACTGGGTGATCAGCAGCACCTGGTATGGTCCTTCCCAGTTCGCGCCTAAGGGTTCTTCATAGATCTTTTTCACAAGAAAATATCCACAAGGAAGGTCATGACATCGCCTGGTACAATGTTGTGATCCCTCTCTGGCAGGTCCTTCCAGGTAGCCAATACCTGTGAGGAGGCAGAACTTACAGCATCTGTTAGCGCTTGGCAGTGAGACAATAGGACATCACTCATAAGATGACAGTCGGCTCTCCGTAGGCCTATTGCCCCGAGTAGGGACACTGGCCTGCTTGTCACTATTTCAAATGGATTCAGACCTGTCATTTTGTTGGAGGTAGTCCTGACGATGCACAGAATTATTGATAAAGCTTGGAGCCACAGCATTCCTTCCTGGTGGCATTTAGCCAGTCACTGTTTCAGGGACTGATTCATTCTTTCCACCTGCCCCGATGATCGTGGATGATGGTGACAGTGAAGGTTCCAGTCAATCCTCAATAACTGGCAAACTTCTTGACACACTGTTCCCGTGAAATGGGTTCCCTGGTCCGAGTCAATGCTGGTGGATAGCCCCCACTGGGGTCTGTAATCCTTACACAGTGCCTTGGCTGTGTGATTGGCTGTGGCCTTTCTCGTGGGAGCAGCTTCTACCCATCTGGAGAACTAGTCTCTCTTTAGGTCCTGGAATGTTTCTTCCTGTTCCTTTGTCAGTGCAATTTGTTCTTTCGAGTCCCATTTTCCCTTCAGGATGTCTGCCAGGGACTGGGCTAGTAGGGTTTACGAACCAGCCCAGCACCATTTAAAGTTACACAGACCAGGAAAGCCTTCAGTTCTCGAATTGTCATTGGCTGTTGGCAGCCTGTATGGCTGCAGTCCAGCTTTAGGTGGTCTCCCTTTTCCCGTGGGAAATTTCCCGTCCTAGATATACTATCTCTTTCCGGGCGATCTGAGCCTTTTCAATACTGGCCTTATAAGCTTCCATTGCAGGTGGTTTAGGAGGGTCTTAAGGTCTATCTCATGTTGCTTCTCCATTTCTGAAGGTATCAGTATATCATCCACGTATTGAATGATAACTGACTCAGTTGGAGGTGGTTTTGTAAGGCCATATGGTATACAGTTGGGCTGTTGTGGAATCCCTGTGGGAGTCGGGTCCATGTGTTCTGTTGTTGCCGCACAGTAAAGGCAAACCACGACAGTACTTCAGGTGCTAGGGGCACTGACCAGAAGCCATTAGCCATATCTATAACTGAGAATCACGTGTGGTCTGGTGTTAAGGCATTGATTAAAGTAAAGGTGTCGACTACTGATGGGACCTTCTGATCGATGCTTTGGTTGGCCTTCCTGTAATCTGTTGTTAATCTCCATTCCCCACTTGCCTTTCGCGTGGGCCACACTGGGCTGTTCAAGGTGCTGTGATTTTTTACCAAAATCCATCTTTCCGCTAATGTCTGAATTATCGGGAGGATTCCTGCAATAGACATCAGGCTGATGGGGTACTGTTTAGTGCAAGGTCGAGGTATCCCTGTAAAAGTTCAGGTTCCATTTACAGTAACCCACAGTCGTCCTTGTCTTTACCCCAGATGAAGTAGTCTTTTGATTCTTCCCTTTGTCGGGTTCTGATGGACCATGTTATCTGTCCATCATCAAAATGTAAAGACGAATTTAGTTGGGTGAGGATATCCATTCCAAGGAGCAGCTGGACGACAGGTCTTACCTGTGCAAAGGTTACTAACTCATGGGGGCCGAATGCAATGTACGTGGGCTTGGTCCTTTTAATTTCAATCCTGTCAGCTCCTGCTCTGTAAGCTGTTCTCACGTCCCATCTATTGGGAGTTTGCTCTCCTACTTCTAGAATAGACACATCAACTCTGCTGTTGTGTCCAAAAGGCACTCAATGTCCAGGTCGCCCACCCTCATGGTCATATACAGAGTTTCTCCCCTCTGCTGGCACAAAGCCAGTAGGAACATAAAGGGGCACGGGGCAGGCTTTGTCAGATTTTTGTCATCTTCAGCAGCTCCTGCTGCTGCTGGATGG